CTGCGGCTCCCGCACGCTCAGTCCCGGCCGGGTCGAGGTGGAGAGGATATTTGGCTGCGAGCGCAGGTGAGAAGCAACGGTTCTCCACAGTGGTCAGAGGTGGAGGATCACCCCCCTGTGCTGTCAGGGGGCCTCACTTCCGAATCGTCATGCCTCAGGGAGAGAGCAGGGCTAGACGGCAAAGCTCAGCTTTCAGTTGTGCTTAAACTTCCCTTAAAGCACAGGTTGGGTTTAGGCTCAGCACCTCCCAGCCTGGGGAGCTCCCCCACCGCAGCACGCAGGCAGCAGAGGCCGTTGGAAAGGTGGAGCGAAGCTGCGCTGGTGGAAGTGGAGGGAGTAGCCCACCCTCCTCATCCTCCCAGCCACCTCCTGGAAGCCACAGGATGTGCTGTGGAGTGGGGCAAGCCACAGAACGGGGGAAGGAGGGAGGTGGTCCCTGCTCCCAGAGTCAGCGACTCCCCAGGGATCCAGGGTGTGTACTGTAGGAGCCGCTCAGGAAAGGATCGGGGATGCCAAGAAGTCCCGTGCTGCTTGGGTCTTGGCTGGAGAAGCACGAATGGCTCCAGTGTTGGTGGCATAGGACAGGAGGGGACATAAACAGGGACCAGGGAAGTATCCTGGGGCAGGTGGGTAGGATGTGAAGGACCACATGGAGAGAAGCTTAAGGAGTAGTGCGAAGAAGATATGGATGAGGCAGCAGGATGCGAAAGCTGGAGTGATTGAAGAGATGGAGACAGGGAGAGGTTACAGTGCACACGGTGTCTGGGGCAGGTGGAGGTCTGTGGGGTCAGGCTTAGGTGGAGCAGGGGCTCTGTATCCGAGCTGAGCCTGGCGGCAGCTGTACAAACTGTATGTGCCCGCAGGAAATCAGAGACCCTGGAGGCATTCCAGGCCCTGGAGGAAGGCCGCGTAGACCGGCTCGATGGCAAGACCCCGGTGCCACCCAGCAAAGGACGCCTAGTTCGGAGGCAGTCCAGCCCCAGCCTGCCCAGGGAGGTGAGGCTTGGCTGCACAGCAGGACCCCATCCCAACTCCCCACGCTGGGTTGCTTTTCCCTGCCACATTTTCCTCTGTTTCTGCCACATGTTTCTCTCTTCCATTCCCCTGCTCCCCCTTCCCTTTATTGCCAGCCCTTCCCCTGCCACAGGCCAGGACTCTGCTCTTAAATAGCAGCAACCCCTTCACCCTTTGGGTGCAAGAGGCTTTTCTTCGGTGCAGGCTGGCTCCATGCACAGGGATGCCACTGCTGTCTGGGGAATTATTTAACCAAAGCATCTCCCAGCCCTAATCCCACCTTATTCATGCTCACTGGCACTTTTTTTAAGAGGTCTCTCTGCTCTCTGCCCCCGACATCCCTAGGGCCAGCGGCTCTCCTGGCACCTCGAGCAGCGCAGCAGAGACCCCAAGGAGCCCCTGCGCTCCCCCAGCCCGGCTCGGCACCCGGAGAGGACCAGCAGGAACCAGGGGGATCCCCCGCGC